ATAGTATAATCTATTTGTCATATATAGAATTCTAAATGTTTCTTGAACCTAACTAACATTCTCTGAATACTTTTTATGTTATAGGAATCTACAGAAATAAGCCTTTCAAATCTTTTTCGCCCAGAAAGTACATCGGTATCATCCAGACTATCTGTGGAACAGTTTTCCAATCTTATTAAAACTAGTCTTCATTATCCTGAAACATTTAATCACTCCTTTAATCGGAAAAGGTTTGAATATTTCTTCTTTTTACTCTAGGCTATAACCAGCATTAACCTTCCAGCCATTTTCCTTTCTTTTTCAGAAATATGTATATGGCACTCATTATAACATTTCACTGCAAAGCATAAAATATTTATACAAGTCTAAAAGTGAGGTCTATTTTCTCCACTGAACGTGAACAAATACATTTGCTTAGGGAGTGATTTGTTTGGGGACTATTGCTAAAGAAGTACATCTGTGCTAATGAGATGGAAAGGATGAAGAAGTTTGTTTTCTGTAGGGTTCAAATTCTATTTCACATACTGCCTCTAGCTTAATTCCTTTTTGAACAACACAGAACACTTAACAAGAAAATCCACAATGAATTAATTTCTTGGGCTCTTGTGTTGAAAATAAATAATTTTTAGCTAATCTTCATGATATTCTATGAAGTTACTTTGAAATCCTAATTTTTAAGAATTCATAGCCCTAGCTGTTAGGTTCCCTATCTTTACCTTAAGAAATACTTCCCATGTACAGTTTTAGCAGTAATTGATACAAATCTTATAAATATAAGACAGAAATACTCTTGGGAGGCTTATAGTTAGTGGGTTGGATCCAAAGTTGCATCCAGTAAACTTTTTTCTCAATTAGAAATAAATGCTTGAGATTCTTCCTTGCTATTGTACTACTGTGCCTTCTGAGAAGCTGCTCAAGAGAGGCCTTCTGGGACAGAAAAATAAATTATACTAGGTACTTCAAGGAGAGTAAGCAAAAAATGCTTTCCCATCCTTTTTTCCAATAGAAAATACTTAATAAATCTCAATTCTTCTATGAATGTAAGAAGTCCTTCCCTTCACAGATAAACACACCTAAACCTAACATACACCTAAAACTAATGTAAACCTAACATATATAGTGGGGCAAAAAAGTATGTAGTCAGCCACCAATTGTGCAAGTTCTCCCACTTAAAAAGATGAGAGAGGCCTGTAATTGTCATCATAGGTAGACCTCAACTATGAGAGACAAAATGAGAAAACAAATCTAGACAATCACATTGTTTGATTTGGAAAGAATTTACCGTATATGCCGGCGTATAAGACTTCCGTAAGCACTAAACTCGGCGCCAAAGACGGGGGTCGTCTTATACGCCGGAAATACTGGTAGTTTCCGGCGTATAAGACGACGTTCTAGGAATGCGGCTCGGCGATAAAGACGGGGGTCGTCTTATACGCCGGGTCGCCTAATATGCCGGCATATACAGTATTTGCAAATTATAGTGGAAAATAAGTATGTGGTCACCTACAAACAAGCAAGATTTCTGGCTCTCACAGACCTGTAACTTCTTTTTTAAGAGGCTCCTCTGTCTTCCACTCATTACCTGTATTAATGGCACCTGTTTGAACTTGTTATCAGTATAAAAGACACCTGTCCACAACCTCAAACAGTCACACTCCAAACTCCACTATGGTGAAGACCAAAGAGCTGTCAAAGGACACCAGAAACAAAATTGTAGACCTGCACCAGGTTGGGAAGACTGAATCTGCAATAGGCAAGCAGCTTGTTGTGAAGAAATCAACTGTGGGAGCAATAATTAGAAAATGGAAGACATACAAGACCACTGATAATCTCCCTCGATCTGGGGCTCCACGCAAGATCTCACCCCGTGGGGTCAACATGATCACAAGAACGGTGAGCAAAAATCCCAGAACCACACGGGGGGATCTAGTGAATGACCTGCAGAGAGCTGGGACCAGCGTAACAAAGGCAACCATCAGTAACACACTACGCTGCCAGGGACTCAGATCCTACAGTGCCAGACGTGTCCCCCTGCTTAAGCCAATACATGTCCGGGCCCGTCTGAAGTTTGCTAGAGAGCATTTGGATGATCCAGAAGAGGATTGGGAGAATGTCCTAACGTCAGATGAAACCAAAGTAGAACTGTTTGGTAGAAACACAACTTGTCGTGTTTGGAGGAGAGAGAATGCTGAATTGCATCCAAAGAACACCATACCTACTGTGAAGCATGGGGGTGGCAACATGCTTTGGGGCTGTTTCTCTGCAAAGGGACCAAGATGACTGATCCGTGTACAGGAAAGAATGAATGGGGCCATGTATCGTGAGATTTTGAGTGCAAACCTCCTTCCATCAGCAAGGGCATTGAAGATGAAACGTGGCTGGGTCTTTCAGCATGACAATGATCCCAAACTCACCGGCCGGGCAACGAAGGAGTGGCTTCGTAAGAAGCATTTCAAGGTCCTGGAGTGGCCTAGCCAATCCCCAGATCTCAACCCCATAGAAAACCTTTGGAGGGAGTTGAAAGTCCGTGTTGCCCAGCGACAGCCCCAAAACATCACTGCTCTAGGGGAGATCTGCATGGAGGAATGAGCCAACATACCAGCAACAGTGTGTGCCAACCTTGTGAAGACTTACAGAAAACGTTTGACCTCTGTCATTGCCAACAAAGGGTATATAAGTATTGAGATGAACTTTTGATATTGACCACATACTTATTTTCCACCATAATTTGCAAATAAATTCTTTCCAAATCAAACAATGTGATTGTCTGGATTTGTTTTCTCATTTTGTCTTTCATAGTTGAGGTCTACCTATGATGACAATTACAGGCCTCTCTCATCTTTTTAAGTAGGAGAACTTGCACAATTGGTGGCTGACTACATACTTTTTTGCCCCAGTGTAAGTGTCTTGTTTAAAAGAGATGTGAAAGTTGATGTTTGATTTATATTTCAATTTGGAATTCTAATAGAAACCTGTCAAAATAAGTTTCCATTTAATCCGCAAGTAGAACATGCTGCCCTACTTTTTTTTCCAGAATGGTCCATTTCTGTTTGGCATTTGACTGCAGCTGTATACTCTGTTTAAAACTAGCATATTTTACTGTTGTTGTTTTTTAAAAGCAAGGGTGATTGTGCTCTGCAGTTGATTCAATTGCTCAGTTGATCTAGTTGCAATTGATGCAACTTTTCTTTCCAGCCTTTGTATAGTTCCAGTTACTCTTCTACTTTCAAATTGTTCTGAAGCTGATGTTGATGTGATAATTGATCTGCGACATAAAACAACAAGGTAATTTTTACAGATTATAAGCCATTTATATTTGAGAAGATTTTTTAATTAGATTCCTGGAGAAGATTCATGAAAATATTATTTCTTGTCTGATTCTAAGAAATTTAAATTTCAGAGCTTATCAAAGCATATTTCTAATTTGATTTTGGTTTAATGGTTTTACACATTTCAGACTGGTGAAGTACCAGAAGGGGCATGTTTAACTAGAACTAAGAATTATTGACTGATAACCTAAATAATTCTGCAGGATGTCAGCCTTAAGCTGTTAGACTGACCTGGGATGCTTAAAACCTTTTTTATGCAATGTTAATAGTTTTCCTAGAAGTTTCCAATTTATAGTTTTATACTAAGTACAAATATTTTACATAAAATTCTTGTTAACATCCAGAAATGTTGTGTTGAGGACAAACAACATACTGTTTTCATCAAGAGTATAAGCAGGAAGAAAATGTGACCCCTGTGTGCTTTCTCTTTTCCAGTCCAGAAACCCTTGAAATCCATGGTTCATTTACCTGGCTTGGGCAAACACAATATAAGCTTCAGCTAAAAGCCCATGAAGTATCTAACCTTCAGTTAAAGGCTTGTTTTGTTCATACTGGAGTGTATAATCTTGGAACCCCACGAATATTTGCCAAGCTTTCTCATCAAGTTACTTTATTTGAAACAAGTCAACAGAATTCAGTGCCAGCCCTGATTATTATTAACAGTATTTGACTTATGGGTTTGTTTTAAAAACAAAACAAAGTACTGTTATTTCGTTGAACTTGCAATCTTGGCATATAACCTGTTAAAAAGTTGTAGATAAATCTTCCACATAATATGATTACATGCCTATTTCTGTTTCATAATACCAGGCATCTTGGATTCTAGTTTTTCTTTTTAAAAATGTTTCATAAGTTAAATGGAAATAACCACGTAACTTTTAAGATTCCTAATAACAAAATTGGGAAGTCCTTGGATATCTTTACTGCTGAAAAAAAATGTACAGCATGTGTTAATATTTGTGGCTGTATTAGATGGCAATTTAGGAAAAAGGTTTGTTGGCTTTTTTGAGTAAGCCATAGATCGATAATTATATCATGTTGTTTCTGTGAAGTTAACTAGGATCCAATTTATTCCAGTCCAATTCTTCTGTTTTTCATTTTCAATTTGAATTCAAGTTGAATTTGAGACTTTCTTCATATACTATTAAGCAATTCTCATTGCAATTGCATATATAACCCCACTTAATATTCTACAATTTTTGACAGCAGTTTGAATATTTTCTCATTCATCTCAGTACAAAACGCACTGTTTCAAACAAAGAAATGTTTTGTCAGTTAAATTCATTCACTTTATTATGTAACTAGAGCAATTCAGTTGATCTGTTTTTTTAAAGAAAGTTAAGCTTTTCAAGAAATGTATTATATTTATAACAGATTTGCTGTAAATAAAATAAATAAAATAAAATGTGCATCATATTCATTACATTCCCCACTGCGATTTTTTTTTTTAATTCTGTGAAATGGAGGTATCAGGATGGGCAAATGTTTTGTGCACAGGTTAACCAACTTCAGTTATCAGTGTCCAACCTGAAACATAGATTCTTGTAAGATTTAAGATTTTGAGGTAAGGAAAGTAGAAACAAATAAGGCTATTTTCAGCCATTAAAAATGAAGAGGAAATCAAATTGACTTATACATTTTCAATTTTTATCTATAGTCCTAAAAAGAGATGGTTATTCATATTACCATTAATGTAATAAATATTCTTGAAAACAATTTAATGAGAGAAACCAAAGAATACATACATACATGCACATATACAGAAATAATATTAATTACAGTGTATTTTTATTTCAAACCAGGGAAAAGAAAAAATCTTAGTATAATTAAATCCACATTTATTATTCTACAGTAAGTTGTGAAATGATAGACTAAATTTATTTGATTGTTGAGTACTCCTTTAGTAATTTAAGAAAAAAATAAACTGTCAGCATTGTGCCAAATATGAGAACAAGACAATTAATTAGTGCTTTTCCAACACTGACCTCAGATTTTGGGAGGGCTCCATAAACGTACACACTGAAAATTGTGCTAAGGTCACAGTAACTATATAAGCTATCTACAACAGTAATTCTGAAGACATAAAAGCCATTGTACTGTGGAAAAAGTATTCTGTTTCTTTCATCCCTTTTTAAAACCTGGTACTTTGAATTAGCTGATGGTAAAGATTTGTTTTCTCTGGGTTCCTTGCAACTCACATAATTATATCTAGTCCATGCAATTTGTGGAGACCCTGGAAAATTTGCTAATTGTTTGGTCCAGTTCTGGGCCTCTGACAAACAATTGGCCTCTATTTCAGTCAAGAGATAATCGTAATTATGCATTCCATTTATTTCATACAGTACAAAATCTGCAGAAACGTATTCCACAAATTCATCGTTGTCCCATAATTCAAGATCTGGTAGCCATGGTTTATCATAATATAAGAAAAGAGGACATCCCCAAGTGTCATACTTATAGGACACATTAAGATCTTCCTGTTCTAAATTTTTTCTACCAAGGAACAAAGGATCGTATAGTTTCTTATCAATTGAATAAACAAAATTCTGTAGTAGTATTGGTTCAAAGAGACCTTTACTACAACCTGTTGTACTCCTTAAAATTCTGATGTGTTTCTTAGGTGGACACTCCACTGCAATAAGAGCTGTCAATGGATACATGTCAATGCAGAATATGCCTTTGTTATAGATGTCCACACTAACAGATGACAGCTTCTTTAAGAGTGATATGTTCTGTTTTTCTGACAACATACTTGCTACGTGTTGTTCTTCTAATTTAATTTGCAAGCTGTATTTAGTGTTTCCATTAAAAGTATAGCCATCCTCCACAATGTATGCCTCAAATGCTAGCACACGTGGATTGCTTAACATGACATATGGATAGGCACCAGTCCCTGGCTTTGGTACAAATGTGGCATTAAAATGAAGACGCTGGTTTGTATCAATATAATACATCCTGTTGTGGAAATCACCAGTGAGGATCTCCATTGGACAGGATTGCAGTGGTGGCTCCACAGTCATGAGCTTAGCCTGGACGTTGATGATGCATTTATGAAAATGGTAATATTTAGATACATTGCTGGGAAATGGACGGATGATGCTAAGTGTTCCAATATTTTCAAATGACATAGCTTGACAAGAAACGTGGACTGAGGAAACATTATTGTCCCCCAAATGTACCATTTTTCCAGAGACCATGTCCAGGTTTCCGTAGAAAAGCTGAGTCTCGGTGAGGACTGCAATCTCATTATCGGTGGCTGCTGCAAAGCAAATACTTTCTGGAAGAGTTTTATTAGGATAGCTGTCTGTGGGAAGGACAGTAATAATATTTGTCGTCAATCCATCATTCGAGGAGCTCATAAGTGTTTTGTTAGTCCATAGTAAGATAAAACCTTTCATACCAGGGGGGAGTGTGCTTTCAACTTTATAACCATTTAAGAATTTTCCGCTAAAGGATGTTCCTATTTCATTCTTCATGGATTCAATAGTTCCATATGTGAAGTATGCAGTCTCAGAATGACTGGCATCCTTGAGGAGCATTCCAATATGTGCTGAGGAAGCAAAAACATAGATACCAAGTAGAATGCCATCCCTCAAAGGTCTACTTTTTAAAGATTCAAATATGCTGGCCCCATTTTTTGAATAAAATATCTCACTTTTGCTAACCAAATTGCCTGGGTTATACGCCAGAACAAGTTCATTGATTTTGTCACAGGCAGGATCATTTAGAGCAAAGCAACAATTGTAGCTAGCAAGTTCAGTAACCAGATGAGTAATCCCTTTTGAATGCAGCCATTTCTTCGATGTGGCATAGAAGTAGACAAAGACGGCACCATTCACCACTGCCACGATTGTATCTTGCACAAAGACAGCAGCACTAACAATGGCAGGTGGCCTTGTAAAACCATTGGGGATGGTTAGAGGGAGAATGCTGCTTTCAAACATATCAAGGCTGATGAATAACCTTTCTCCAAGGTAAAGAGCTGGGGAAATACCACGGAAAAAGTTATTTCTACATGGGTGATGCAATATATAAGGATGATTGTGGCTGAAATTAAGCAGCATACCTGATGATGACATAACCAGATGGTGAGACCAAACTGAAGAAATCAATTGCTCGTAGCTGCATGGCCAGGAGTCAACTGCCATAATGGGGGATAGCCAAAACTTCACTAACAGGGGCAATAACATGGTGTGGCTCCTTTACTTTAACTGATATAATGCCTAAGAGCATAAATATCCCTTCCGTTGTTTCTCTTGAAGTTGTTTGTAATGGTCGTTGAGGGAGATGGTTCTAGAAGGCAGTTGGCAGATTAAGACTCTGAGGGAGAAGAGTACAGATCTACTGTGTCATAAAGCATACCCAGGAGCTACTGGTAACAGACCATATTTATTACTAAAGAAAAACTGATGGATAACATCAGTTGAGATCTTCCTGTTCTAAATATTTTATGTCAAGGAACATTGGCTTATGGATTCTTATCAACTGAATACATCAAATTATTTTTTACCTTCACATCCATAGAATTCTGATAGATGACTTAGAGAGTCAGTGGGTGCATATTTATCTGTCTTATTTGATCTCTATCTATCTATCTATCTATCTATCTATCTATCTATCTATCTATCTATCTATCTAAACTATCATCTACCTGAATAACGACCTATCACCCTCACAGAGTGATTCAGTCAGAATATACTTTGATTGTAGGTGTGATAGCAAAGAACATGCCTTTATAAATATTATCTAGGAATTCAGGATAAATAAGAGAATTGCAGCTTAGTTTTCAAAGATTGTTTACTATTTCCATTAAAAGTGTAGCCATCCTCTAGTCCAGTGATGGCAAACCTTTTAGAGGCCGAGTGCCCAAAAACCACCTCCCCACTCCAGTCCCCACTCCACCCTGCCCACTTGGCCACCCACCACCTCCACTGCCTGCCACAGATCACCCAAGCAGCTCAGCAGCCCCATGGTGACCATGCCCTCCGCCCATGCCCCACAGCATCATCTGTGTGCAACGGGGCGCAAGGGCAGAGTCTTGTCCCCACTGCCTGGCTACCATGTACTTGGCTGCGCTGCTTCGTGTGGGCCGCACCCAGGGGTGACTCTCCTCGGGGGGGGCTGCTGGTGAGGAGAGGGCTGTGGGAGGAGGCAGGGCTGAGGAGACAATGTGTGTGCCCACAGAGAGGGCTCCGAGTGCTGCTTCTGGCACCTATGCCATAGGTTCGCCACCACTGCTCTAGTCTATAACCTATTCCAGCTTGGACATATACAGTATGTAATGAATAGGATGTTGCTGCATAATATATTTAATATATAATATATATTTTTCTCTAAATAATACCAATAAGGATCTCTCCTAGACTTGAGTTACAACAGAGGCTGAAAATTCATAAATATTCCATTTATATTGCTGGTGCATTCCCCCCCCCCCCCAAAAAAAACACTGCAGAAATATTGGACATGATTCAATCCTTGAGTTAACCTGACTGTCCAGGTTTTACCCGAAAAAATACTTTTGAGATGGTCAGATGGGAATATTTCCATGACTCCCAGAAATCTGAAATCTGCCCATTTCAAGGCCATCTCTTATACTGCTTCCATGGTCTTGAGTTCCATTGGAAAGACTTGATTCAAGATCTAATCAAGCAGCAGGGCACTTCTTAAGTAATGCACTCAAATTGCATCAATTCTTCTATTTTCTCAATTGTCTTGGCTTCTGCATATTTGCTACAGATAACGTGTTCTTTTCACATTGTGGGGAAATCTGATAGGAATACAAGTTCCACCAAAATATCTGAAATTTTTAAGTACTTTTTGGTGTCAAGTCTTAAGCTAGATCTCATCAAAAGCGTTCATTTTTTACCAAGGCAATAAGAAGGCAAGGGAAAAGGAGAAGTTAGAGTTGTCATCCTCCCTCCTTCCATATTAACCGCTAGGTGAGTTAAAGTATTAGTGGGTTAGTATTCACCTGGGAATCAACTTCATTCCTCTTCTTTGTATCAAACAAGCAAGTTTTCTCATTCAGCCTATCCAATCCTGTGGAGTTCTTAAACAAATTGATTTGGCTTTCTTCAGATTGAATGTGGCAAATCCTTTCTTTTCCCCTTGGCAAAAGCACAAAATGAAGACATCTTCTGATTAGCTGTGGCCTCATAAGTTGAAGCTCCAATTTTCCTATGGCTTCAGGTTGCTTTTGGATCATCTCCTTTTCCTAGATCCTTGAAGACTTCCACTAGTTTCCCTTTAGCCTGCTTGCCTCTCTTGTCTTCTCTCATCTCTGTCTCTCCTCATTTGTCCAATTATGTTTTCTCTTAGCCCGTTCTTTTCTTCCACTTCATGCCTACTCCTTATACCTCTCCAAACTATTGTCTTTTTTGTGCACAGCTCATTATGTTCCTATCCATCCTTCTACACGTCACCAATTATTGCATCCCTATAAGGATTCCGTATCACCTGAATCTCCATCAGTTGGGGAATCAATGCTTACATTATATATGCAACTATCTCCAAGAGATGAGGTGGAAGAGTGAGAGAGAGCCGGCTCTGCTTTTCATCTGTCGCTGGGAGAAGAAATAGACTACAGCCTTCCCCACCATCCTGTACAACATCTATTTCCCCTCTGCTAATCACAGCCGATTCTTAGAAGGCTGTATATACCGGTAACAAGACTAAAGCTTCTTTCTCACCAGGTTTCCTAGTGCTGGCAATATTTAGTAGTAGCGATTATTTTAAGGTATCGAGATATCTCAATTCCTCCCCTTCCTTTGTGTGACGGAGGCCACCAAGAGTTTCTTTCCGCCAGCTGCCCCCTCGGACCGATTATGTAGCCCGGCGGGCTTGGCCGGTTCGCGCGGGGTCGGCAGCCGGGCCGCAAGGAAGAGGCGCGCGCTCCGGCTCGTTCCCCGCAGTTCTGCAGTCCCTCGCCGCGTAGGGAATCCGGGGCGCGCACGCCCACGGTCGTCGCAGTCCAGGCGCCTGCCCGGCCGCTCCTTCCGAAGCGAAGCGGGGAGGGCGAGGTGGGGTTCGGGGAGAGAGAGAGAGAGAGAGAGAGAGAGCGCAGGAGCCACCGCCGCCGATCGCCTCTCAGCCGACAGGAGGACCGGGGTGGGCAGGGCGGCCATGCGGACCGGGGAAGCCACGAGATTTCCGCGGGTCCAGCGGACGCGGGAAGCGAGGAAGAGGAGGAGGAGGAACTGCCACACCTGAACTAGCAACGCCGGGAGCCGCTCTCCACTTTGGCTGTGGGGAGCCCCGCGGTCCCCGATTGACTGAACGGGGGCCGAGCGAGACGGGGCCCTTTCGCTGCCGGTGCTCCACCGGGAGCCACCGACCACCCGGCCGTGGTAGGGTCTGCTAGTTCCTATCACTTGCGTCACGAAGCGTCCCCCCGACCTTTTCGCTCCGCGATCGCCGCTCACCCTCCTTGGCTTTAAAGCCTCGCCGAGAGCCCCCCAGCCCAGCCCCAGCCCCACCCGCGGGGCTCCGCTCCGCTCCTCTCCACACGCCCCCTCCCCAGAAGAGCCTCCCCACCCTGGGATGCCATGAGTCATCTCTGCTGCTGCTGCTTCCCCGCTGCCGCCGGCGGTCTGGAAGCTGCTTCTCCGGCATCCGTTCGGACCCTATTCGGCGGACAGCGCTTTCCCCGGGCAGCGTAGCGGGCCTCGGGGAGCGGTCCCTCCTGCCCTGGAAGGAGGAGGATGCCTCTCTTCAGGACGGCGCTGCGAGTCTCCAACCGCTCTATTCTGGTCTTCATCTTCTTCTTCTCCTTTTCTTCCTCTTGCCTTTACTTCATCTATGTGGCTCCTGGCATGGGTAAGGCCAGTTCTCTCTCTCGCCCTCCTCCAAGGTCGGTGGGTGGGATTACAGGAGGCGCCGCCCTAGAGCTGCCTCCCCCAACGGGAGACGGTGGGGGCAGATTCTGCCTTGTGGGCTGGGAGACCCGGTCATGGGCCACCAGCTCCGCTCCGGAGATGGTTGAACGCTACGATTTCAACCCCGATCTCAGTTAGTGTTAATAAGCGTCGCCTTGGAGGTGATGGGAGGTGACATGAGTTTGAGGCGGCTGTTTCCCCGCATGTATATATCTATGCCCTGGTTAGATGAATTTATCTGAGTCCACCTGTAAGTTCCCACGTGCCGCAATTTAATGTGACAATGCCAAAATAAGAAATAATTTCTCTTGGCTGCTTCTAGAGACCTATCCTGTATAGGCAGAATATGGGAGGCTTCTGGGGATTGCATTTTTGAAAGACCTGGATATTCTTGTGTCCTACTGGGAAAACAATGCACTTTTTCTACAAATGATCCTATGTTGCTTCAGGGGCTTAAATCAATATTCCAGATGTAAATTGTTGCTCTTGACAAAATCACATACACCTCCTTGGTGGTAAAGCTGGAATGTGTGAGATGACTGGAAGTTATTGGACTTTAGGTTTGTTGGACAAATTGTAACTGAGGGTGTGGCTCACCCTCAGAATCAATTATATCACATAAATTTTCTATAATAATTCTTTGAACAGTTTCTTCTATCAAAACATCATGTCTACCTCTTATTTTATATTGTTTTGAAGGGGGAGGTTAAATATGCTTATTATTCTTTGGTAGGACTCTTTGTCTCTTGTGGGCTGCTTGTTGACTGCTTATTGAAAAATAGAAAAATGTTTCTTTTTGGTAACATTTTTCAATGCCACACTGAATACAAAGCTTGCATACTGCTTACAATATGCAGGTGCATCTTAGCTGCTTTTGAAGAGATTTATTTCAAGAAAAAAACTAATCAATATCATTTACATAGTGAGTGCCTTTCAGTGTTTGCTGCCTAAAAGCAATTCATATATCATTTTATAGCACATATAACAGTACTTTACTCATGAATTTGATAACATTAATTTAAAATCAGTGGCACTTAAAGTTCTTCAACTCAACATTATTTTAGAAAATATCTGGTCCTTCCTTCCTTCCTCCCTCCCTCCCCCTTTTCTTTCTTTTTTTCTTTCTTTCTTTCTTTCTTTCTTTCTTTCTTTCTTTCTTTCTTTCTTTCTTTCTTTCTTTCTTTCTTTCTTTCTTTCTTTCTTTCTTTCTTTCTTTCTTTCTTTCTTTCTTTCTGCAGTGATATTTCTAGGGAAAAGCAATCTTTCCCTAAAGGAAGTCCAAATACATAAGGCCCCTACTATAAACACCTTGTACTTGATTAAATAGTTTTTATATACTACAAGCCTGTTCCCAGGCTTGAGGCAGATTAATTGATGGTGAATGGCCCTTCAGATCAGATGATCTGAAATCATATCTGATTTTAAAAGCCAAAACTAGCACATTGAATGAAGATGCAGCAAGTGTATCTAGCCATTATCTGTTCAAAAAGTTTTATCTCTTCAAAATTCAACTCTCAGCATAGCTCTGTCATGAGCTATCAAAATGATTTGAATATTTACTCAGCGTCTCTTTAACCACAACTGGAGTGTCTACCATGACATAACAGCAAAATTTGTTTCATTCCTTCCAGTAGTTATATTTTCCATTTACCCTCTACAAGACACATACCCAGTGCTTTTTTGTAAAAAAAAAAAAAAAAAAAAAAGGGTGTTGGAACTCACACACGTTATACAACCCGCCTTGCCTACCCTATAAGGTTTACCTTAGTAGTTGAAAAAAACCCCTTCAATTTTTAGTGTATCTAAAAGACTAGGATGTTTTTCAAGGTAAGTTAATATTATTAATGTTATCATGCACTGTGTAGCTTTAATTACAGGAAGGCATTTTATTAATCTTTTGGGACATTTACCACTGGCATACCCATTTAGTTTAATGAATGGAAATGTCAGCTTTCTATGTGGAATGAAATTGGCCCAATAAAACAAAATTTGGTTGCATGTAAAAGATTGAATTATTTTTAAGAAGTTATCAAACAAAGTGGAAAAATTTACATTTGGAGTTTAATATGGATATTGACTTGAAACAAATTAAAGTTGAAACTTTGTCAGTGAGCAGATTACTTTTAATTTACCTTTAAGTTAAACCCAATTTAATAAATAGATCTGATTAAACCTCATACTGTAGGTCTACCTTTACATCTGACCAATGCATAATTAATATATATTAATAATAATAATAATACCTCCAAATCACAAGACATTGGCTTTATTCTTATTCTTCCCCTCTGCAGTTTGAATATAAAGTATAAAACACTAAAAAGAGATAGTTGTACACATTCCAGCCTTTGAACTACACAATGCAACACAATGGAGCTTCAGAGAAACAGATTGGGAATGAAACTTCATAGAAGTCCAGAAATGAAAATTCTTTTTAAATTTCTTACTTCCACTAGTGATATCAGCTTTGGCTGAATTTGAAATATATCCAACTACATCATATAATAACATTCTCTGATGTAAAGATTTCATATAATGACATTCTCTGATGTAGAGATGTGGAATTTTTAATATATGTTAGCATTTCATTATGTTTTGCATTTTTATATAGTTAGATTAATAACATTGAATTATTTTCTGGGAAGATAAAAGATAAAGGTGTCCCTGCAGATTTTACTCCGCTAGTGATTGCCGACTGTAGGGATGGTGCTCATCTTTGTTTCAAGATCATTGAGCCAGGGCTGTCCAAAGACATGTGGCTAGCATGACGTCATGGAGCACTGTTACCTTCCCACCTATCTGGTAAGATAGGACATAGATAAAAATTTATATAATGCACATTAATTTTAAATCATTGTAACTAGTAACAAACATAACTGAAACATTAGTTATGTTTCTTCACATGCATTCTACAGAGAAAGTTAATATGACCATCAAGTATGACTCTTATTTCCAAGTTTTAGAAACAATATAACTTTAAAAGTTGACACGTAATATGTAACCAGTATTTTTCTAATTACAACCGTAGTTCTGTTATTTCCTAGAAAGAATTTAATGTTGGGTGGAATCATTTTAATAAGTCGTCGCACCCTGTGGGCTTGATACTTTCCAATGTTACAAATGATAACATGGAATGGGATTTTGTAAAAGTGCATTTAGTAATGTGAAGTTTTGTTGCATTTGCAGATTGATTATGTGCTGAATGATCAGTGCTATTAGCATCAATCACTTGTGAAATTGGAGACAAGAATAGAAGTTAGACCTATGACTAATTAATTATTCCTTTTGTTCAAGTAGATATGCTCTATGTCTAGTACAGCTTTCAAAGAGGGCAGAAAGCTATTCAAGATAATTGCATTTCATATTCCGGTTCCACATGTTTATTTTTGCCAATTTAAATTATCTATAATTCATTTATTTTAGTTGTCTATAATAGTTATCCTAAAATTATTCATTCTGCCTGATTTAGAATATTATCTGTCCATCTTTAAATTTTAAGTTGAAGTTAATTTTGATTTTTTTTTCCTTTACAGCAAATACATATTTATTTATGGTACAAGCACGAGGTATAATGCTGAAAGAAAATGTGAAAACAATAGGACATATGATTAGACTGTATACTAATAAAAATGCAACAATAAATGGCACAGGTAGGAATACTATACAATACTTTGAAGGTTAATGTAATTATGAAAATTATTTTTAGTAACATTCTGGGCTAATTATGAGTCAAAGCTCAACAAATTATTTAAGATATTTAAGGTGGACATATATAAAATGATAAAACTATATAAAATGATTTGGGAAGACAACCTTATAAACATTACAGAAATAATTAATGGAAAATATTTTTATTTCTGTTAAGATTATCCGGAAAGCAACAGTACAAGTGATAGTATTGCCCAAACAGCGACGTATCTTCCAGAAAACTTCACTTATTCTCCTTCTCAATCTTGTCCAGAAAAATTGCCCTCCATGAGTAAGTTTATTTTCACCTTAACAGAAAACTATTAATTTAACATATCACAAATTGTTTTGAAACACATTTTCAATAAAGATTTTAACAGCATTACAATTTTTTTAATGTACAGTATAACTATAATTTCCCTAGGAAAAGAAAAATATTTTTTAAAATAATTTGTAAACATTTTACAAAAATAATTTTAGAATTTCAGAATTGATTTTGGCGCACTTTTTAATTTCCATTTTTAATGTAGCATTTCAGTCAATTGAGGATTCAGTTTAGTATATAATATGTAACATTTTATATTATCCCATAATGATCTTAGCATGATTTTGTTAATGCCCAATTGCATGTTCAGTAGATGTGGTTCTTAGATTATAATTAGTTTTCAAGTTACTAAAGTTCAGCTCTTTGGGCCAGTTTGAACCAGTCCTTATCAGAATTTCACATTCCTGCTTCTTTACTTCAAAGAACTAGAAACATTAACCAAAGGCACCCCTAGCTGCTGAAAACATTACTCAAAGGGCTCCCTCTCCTGTTCCCATCACCTCAGTTTCAAGCAGAAATTCTCCTTTTCTTAATTATATTATGTGGTAGCATTTGAAAATCTGTATCAGATTTGTGTATTACTGGCTGTTATATGTAATATGTCATTTACACATCTTAACTTTAAATGTGGGGAAAATCTTAATCAAAATTTACATCTCGCCATCACTTAGGAGGCTTTATTGAAGCAAATATGAGTGAAATTAGTTTGGAAGAAATTCAACAGATGTTTTCTAAGGATTTAGATATTGAACCAGGTGGTCACTGGAAGCCAAAAGACTGTAAACCACGTTGGAAGGTAAAGTGCAATTGAATTTCTAGTAATCCAGAGTCTGTGATTTTCTTAAAGTTAGAATCTGGTTGTTTTTGCAATATCAGAACCTATTTCATATATACCTGACACGCTGAAGTATAATTTATCTTTATTTTTCATTGAATCAAGAAGCTCATAATAAATTGCTGTTTGAAAAGCATGCTAGAATAAAGACAGAATAATACCTTGTTATCTTTTGCCCACCTGGCCGTCTCTGTAAGCATCTTGGTATTCAATTTAGGTATAGTCCAAATCATTAGCCATGGATAGGCCTCAGACCATAAAAAGAATGTGATAAGGACAACCAGATTTAGATATTTGCACATTTGCACAGGATGGAGGTGAGGAGTGATGAAAATCACTACCATCCTCCTCTTCCGTTCTGTACTTCAGGCATGTTTGTTCCAGCTTCTCTTCTTGGAGGTGTGCTGGAGAAAAAGGAACGAGAGTTCAACTTCCTTTGCCCATTTGCTTACTAAAATGAACATACTGTAGATCAGGGGTAGTCAACCTTGGCTCTTTTATGACTTGTGGACTTCAACTCCCAGAATTCCTGAGCCAGCCTGCGTGTAGATGGTAGTCTTTGGAAGATACATTTCTAAGCTGCTACTATTGAAAAGGCTGTTCCCTATATTCTCAGGGATTTAATCTGGCAAATGATGGAATATGGCAATGGTTCTCAACCTGTGGCCTGCGGACATTTGGGGGGTGCTACAGTCGGTCCATGAAAGCTGGAAGAAATGTTATCATTTAAATCTTGAGTTAAGTATTGGGGTTCTGTGGCCATGGTCCATGGCCACAAAGGGTATTTAAAGGAGGTCCGTGTGAAGAAGAGGCTGAGAACCAATGGAATAGGGCATAACTTTATCTCAGGTATACCAGAATCACATATTAAAATCAAGCATTACCTAAGGTATGGTGATTGCAAACTGTTTATTTTATTTTTATTTATTTTATTTATCACATTTAGGTGCCACCCATCTCACTCTGAGTTACTAAAACAATAAACTAAAGCATTATTCAGAAGGAAGCTGAATATGTCAATATGAAGACAAAAAATGTAGTTCTTACATTGTTTGTTGTCATAAAAACTTAGCAGTAATAGATTAAAACAGATTTTTCTTAAGAGATCTTTAAAATTTGAGATTAATTTTCTTTAGACAGTGCACATATTTAGATTAATTTGTAGAAAAGTAATTAAAATTAATTTTCTGTGATCATGCTTGTTGCATAACCATAATCATACACACCAGTAAATAGTTTTCCTAAGATTTATGTTTAACTTCTGCAATTCAGTCTGCTAGCATAGCTTTCAGATGTTTTTTTTCTATTTTTAAAGGTTGCAATACTCATCCCTTTTCGCAATCGTCATGAACACCTTCCTATATTTTTTAGACATTTAATACCAGTGTTGCAGAAGCAAAGGCTAGAATTTGCTTTCTATGTTGTTGAACAGGTGAGTTTACGTATTTATTTATATCAGAATAAATTTAGATATTATTTTATTACACATGTTTGGATTAATATATTCAACAATAAATAATGTGCATCTGCCAGTGTTGTTGAGCAACATTTTTGCTGTGTTTGGGCATATTTCCTTAACACAGAACTTCTATAACTTGAATTCCAGATCAACAACAGAAAATCTTTGGAATATTAAAATATATGTCAACTTAATTGGAATCTTCCACATCTTCTCTAGTGTGACTCCAGTATTTTTAAAATATTGTTTCTATTGTTCTCCTATTAGTGGGAATTGAGAATGTAATTAAGGACTGGATGTATACCGATAATATACTTAAATTAAAATGGGCACATTAAAATTAATGACATGAGCTATCATAGCCCAGATTCATTGATTTCAGTGGTTATATAGCATTATGCAATTGTATTCCAGTTGTTAATCTGCATATCCTCATTAACTTTCTTTAACAGTTTATTCTTCTATTTTGCCCTCTGTTAAGGTAGGAACACAGCCTTTTAACCGAGCAATGCTGTTTAATATTGGCTTCAAAGAAGCTATGAAGGACGGTGACTGGGACTGTGTAATCTTTCATGATGTGGATCATTTACCAGAAAATGATAGAAATTATTATGGATGTGGTGAAATGCCACGTCACTTTGCTGCAAAATTGGATAAGTATATGTACATGTACGTAACATGTAGAACAGTGATTCTCAACCTTTCTAATGCCGTGACCCCATAATACAGTTCCCCATGTTGTGGTGACCCCCAAGTGGGTGTGGCCACCAATAAGAGGGAGTAGGACAGCTAGGGAAAAGGGAAAAAAATGGCGGACAGCATGGTTTGGCGACCCCCGTGAAATGGTCATTCGACCCCAAATGGGGTCCCGACCCACAGGTTGAGAACCACTGATGTAGAACTTCTAACCGCCTGTATTTGTGCAATTAGTCAAAATAAGCAGTACAGTTAGACCTCGCTTTACAACAATTGAGCTCAAAATTTGTGTTGCTAAGAGAGACAGTTGTTAAGTGAGTTTTGCCACATTTTATGACCTTTCTTGCCACAACTCTTAAGTGACTCATTGCAGCTGTTAAGTTAGTAACACGGTTGTTAAGTGAATCTGGCTTTCCCCATTGATTTTGCTTGTCAGAAGGTCACAAAAGGTGATCACATGACCCTGCAACGGTCAGAAATATGGGTCAGTTGCCAAGCATCTGAATTTTGATCACATGACCATAAGGATGCTGTAGCCATTGTAAGTGTGAAAAAAGGTCATAAGTCACTTTTTTCAGTGTTGTTATAACTTTGAAAGATCACTAAAAGAACTGTAAGTTGAGGACTACCAGTATTGGAAAATATTTTCAGTTGATCCTTACATTCCCTGAATATATTTATTGATATTACCAAATATTCCACAGACAAGTTCATGAAGACAAAATGTTATTTAAAAATGCATCTGAGCTTATAATGTTAAATTTCTCCTTTTTCTAGAATTTACAAAGAAAAAGTTGTGTTTTTTAGAAAAAGGACAGTGTTAAAATATTACGAAGTATGTTAAAAATCCTTTTTCATTTCCCACCAATGTCATTTTATTTTTACTTTACCATTTGAAAAGTAGAGTATTAATACACTATTCAGTTGTTTTGTAGTTACAGCTATAAATAATATTACCTTATCTAATATATTATCCATTTACAAAATTCTAAATCTATTTAAATATATTTACTTAGTAATTTAAATTATTTATATATAAGATGTGAAAACTCTTGCCAGGAAAAAGAATTATAAAAATATACTAAACCCACGTTTGGTGGTAAATTCTTGTCTCTGTCCTGTCTCTCAAATCCCAACATGAATATTTCCATGAGGGCAGCAGGAACTGAACTTGACTCAAAGAACGCTTCCCTTTTATCTTTGCAAGCCCTAAATGTAAATGCTTCCTCTTATTTTCAGACTTCCATACAACGAATTTTTTGGTGGTGTAAGTGGACTAACAGTAAAACAATTCAAAAAAATCAATGGATTTCCAAATGCTTTCTGGGGATGGGGAGGAGAAGATGACGATCTTTGGAACAGGTAATTGTATTGTATTAACTTTATTAGGTCATTGGCCAGAATATCTAAGTTCTTTTTGTTGCTGGCATGAAATATACATGAAATGTAGAGATTTATTGGATCCAGTCATAAAAGGACCCACTCCCCACCATGGATAAGTCAGCAGTCATTTACAGAATTGACTGTGAGGACTGCCCCAGGAACTATGTTGGGGAGACCGCCAAGAGAGTAAGAACTAGGGTCCATGAACATAAACTAGTGGTGAAGAGGGGCGAAAAATACTCGCAGATTGCGGCACATATGACTGAATCAGGCCACCGATTTGATTTTGAAAACGTACGTGTCTTGGCTAGTGACAATACGAAAGGGGGCCACTTGCTTAAGGAGGCATGGCTATCCAATAAGGACTCAATTAATCGGCATATCGATCTTTGCCCAGCCCACTTAACGCTGAGAGCTTGGAGCATGGGCAATTCCCCACCCCATTGGAGACATCCTAAAGAAACACTGAATATACCAATGGAGAGCATTGTGGAGATGAATTCCCCCTTTCACCATCCACAGCCCGGGAGTACTCAAACGGAATGTAGACAACGATCGGGACTTCCCCCCACCCCCAGAATGGTTAGACATCTCCGAGCATCCGAAGGAGCGTCGGGAGATACAGGAGCACTAACGTGTGGACTGGGGGATTGCACGCACCCCTCAGGATACCCGGAGGGGAGAGCGTCGCCTGATAAGAGACCCACATTTAAAACACCCTTGGCGGGGGCGTTGAATTGCCTGCCATATTTGGGAGAGGAAAGGGTAGCTTCTCCAGCTCTACCACCTGTAACAACTTGATCGCTCCGTTCAGCAGCACCAACTCAAATGTGCCAACGGGGTGTGTGGAACGAACCCGATAAAGATGTACATGGGAGGAACACCGAGAGTGGAGGGGAGAGAGCAATGAAGACTGACACTCCTGATTACTGTATAGAGAACACCCAGGGTGAGTTGATTAACACTAGGATGGAACGCACCAAGATCGGAGATAAAGAAAGGAGACGCCTGGGGGCAACAACTACCAGATCGTACTCTAAAAGGGGAGGAACAACCTCATTAGCATGTTTGGGGAATAAGACCCGCCCACCCCACCTTGTAATGCTGATCTATCCGTATCAACAGACAGCACGGAAGAGCTCTCAAAGCGACACCATGCAAACAAGGAGCAAGGAGGAAACAAGGGGTGTGGCAGTAATTAACTCGAATAACATCTGTGGAGACCATGACTGGGGAAAATACAAAGAAAACAAGAGACAGTGCGTTGCAACGGGGCAATCAGAATGGAGTGGGGAAAGGGGAGAAGGGAGGGGCACAACTAAATGAAGTAGGGGTAGCAATAAAGCAAAAAAGGAGAGGGAGGATGTTCCATCAAACCCCGAATTTGGCAAAGAGAAAACACCCAATGACAGCTACACAAGCAAAAAATGCAAGAAAGCAATCATTGCCAATAAGAAACCGGCAACCGAGAAACAGCCTATTGCATCAGGCCCAATGACAAGATCTAGGAGCCGAGTGCAGACTCTGGCCAATCTATAAAGAGGACTCTCCCACTGACCGGCATTTTGAGCCCTGATGATGTCAGCAGTTGCTGACGAAAGCTAGGCGTTTTATTAATTTTTATGGTGATTTTATTGGTATTGTATTAAATTTTACTAAATTTTACTAAAATTTTTAAACATTCCCTGGTGCTCACGTTTATTTGCTTGGTTTTAAATATTGATATACCCAGGGATCATATTTTTAGTGTAATTGTTAACATATATATATATAAAACCCTTCACCATCAACTTCATTATTCTAGAAGTAGAAATATTGAGGGGACACACTGTATGATATAGGCTTGCTCTTTCATTGCCCAATTTTGGTTTAATTTTCATACTTTTTAAAGTGGTTTTTGTATAAGCAACATGGCTTAGATGTGAATATGATACTGAATTATATACCAAAATATGGATTTTCTCGTTATATGAAGAAATATGGTTTATTGAGCATGAGTCATAACAAAAAAGGTAACAAAAATATTATGATAAATACTTGCTCTCCATATGTACTAGCTCTACTGGCTTTTTGTTGTTGTTTTAGGCATAATTGAAAGATTATGTCTAACAAGACAGGAAATGTATACAGTTGGGATTTCTAAATCATGGAGCAGTCAGAATCATTCTGAAGTGCTGATTAACTGTTTCTGTTTAGAAATGCTTTGGAAGATTTTATTCTGAATTTTTTTCTTTGCAGTCCCTCAGTGGTTCTGGCACATTTTTAGATCCAAACTTCCTTTTGCTTCTCCTCAAACACCAAATCTAATTCAGTTCTATTCTTGGTTTGTTGTTTTGGTATCATTCATTTGGTATCATTTCTTCTTCTTTTAGTAGCTAAAACTATTTTAAAAAGCCTTTCTGCTCCGCTATGAAATCAGCTATGGCAACCTCCCTCTCCCACCAAACATAACACACATAAAGTTGCCTCTGATGTCTGTTACTGAGTTTATTTCTTACACATGTTGATTATTTCACTTGCAGGGTCCACTCTGTAGGATTTAATGTGACAAGGCCAGAAGGAGAACTTGGGAAGTATAAGTCAATTCCTCATCACCACAGAGGAGAAGTTCAGTTTTTAGGACGGTGAGAATAAAAATGTTGAAATACGTTTTTATTTTTGCTGTAATATCGTGCTTTTGATAGTTAAACATATGCAACATTTTAGCATTCAGAATATTTCTTAACAATTCCACTGTGGAATATTTATTATTATTATTCCTAGTTTATAAATGATGAATTCTCTCTGTCTTGAATACTGTATTTAGTGTGATGGTTCAGAAAAGTTTGGAATAAATACTTTTAAAAGAAATTAGCTAATACAAGCAGTACATAGGTTTCTGCAGAAGGTAAAGGGGAGGTAAATGATGAAATTTGTGACATGATGTTCTGACAGAAACTCTTGCTACTTATCTATTTGTGTCATTATGTTACATGCAAGTATATATGGGACAGCACATTTAATATCATTCCAATAAATTTTGCTGCAGGTAACATATTGAACTTGTATGCAGCCTTTTCTAACATGATGCCTTTCAATTCTGCTTGAGTTTAGTATCTATCCATCTGGATAGGTATTATTTCTCCTTACCTAACAATCTGTCCAGTATATTTATTGCAAAATAAATGTTTTTGCTGAATACTTTGCAAAAAATCTACCTAGTCTGTTTTTTATAGAATGCTTGTTGGACTTTTTCCTGTGTTCAGTTTGAGTTCAAAAGTATTTATTTATTTTTAACATTTATTAGCTGTCCATCTTAGCACAGGGTAACTCTGGGATGTTTACAATATTAAAAAAGATAAAATTATATAAAACCTATAGATGATTTAAATAAGATACTATAAAGAACTCATTTCATTCTGAAGCTGAAAATATTTTGTTCTGTAAAATGGCAATGACTTTCTACATTTTATCAATGTTCTGAATATTTTTCCCACAGATACAAACTATTAAGATATTCCCGAGAACGTCAGTTTATTGATGGTTTAAATAATCTAGTATATATGCCATCTATATTTGCCAGTAAACTGTATACTAATATCACTATAAACCTGATGCCAGAACTAGCTCCTGTTCAAGATTACTGATGGAATAGCAGAATAAACTACTGGATCTACACTTTGTAACACTGGAAAAATACTAAATCAGGTATTTCAAATGACTGCACAATCATGTCTCAATTAGAGAATGCTTCACATTAAGAAACCAATAAGTACTCAAGTCTTGTTAGCTTTTCTGTAGATAATAAATACAGGTATAGCATGCTTAGAAATCAGGAAAATTCCTTTCTCTAAGAATGCGTGCATTCAATGAATTATAATTATTTTTTTAATGTTTTCCATATCATGTAAATATCTGTTAAAAAATATTAGGCTTTTGACCATGGCAGCATTCTGCATGTTTTAGAAGTATTTGTGTTTAGTATTTCTAGAATTTAGGCATGAAATGTAAGCAATTAAATCTACATAAAGATTTTGAATGATTTAGAGGCTGATTTATAAATATTGACTATCTGTTATAATAAACTTTTATGTTTATTTTGAGCTACAGCCTTTCCATGTAACACATATGCCTGTGATTTTGCCACTAAACCTATGATAAATATTTTTTCAATCTTTATTCTACCTATTACCAGGGCAGTTCCCTGAATATGCTTGGAAGAATATTATTTATGCATATTCCATTCATGGAAACCCATCTATGATGTTGCATGTCATTATGGTTCTTAATGTGCCAATAGTGTTAATGTCAGATTTATATTTTAGTCTATTTTCATATTGTTCTTTTGTGGATTTTTGTAATAAACACCATTCCATCCAAAGTCAAAAGACCAATAAATTAGAAGATGAATGAATTTTAATGAGAAAAAGTGATGGGATAAAGTGGAATGTTCAGAATAATTGTCATTGGTCAAGTTTTTTCTCATTGAAAGTCATTGGATTGGAGTCAGCCTGAGGAGAAATGTGTTGAAATTTATCTTAAACCAACTGCCATCCATATTAAAAGTTTTCCATTCTTTTGTAAACAATGCAAGCTAAGATTCTTTTGTTTATGACTTCTACATTGGGTGAACTTGCTCGCTATTTTACAATGTTGTTTTGTTCTTGTTTTTTTGTGCCCAGTACACAAAACTGAGGTATGTCTCATTCTAGTTTTTATTGGATTGGACGATGATTGACATATAACATCCTTTTTTGAGTAATCTTCTTTGAATACTTGAGCTATTATCTTTACAGAGTGAATCACTCTGTTCTAATATAGGCATTTCAATGTTGAATGTAGTTATGAACCAAGATTAAACATTTGAGAACCAAAGAATTACTGTACTTCTGTTTCCTTTCAGAATGGAAAAATGCATTGCTCAACATCTCAAAAAGAGTAAAATGGATACAAATGTAATTTGAATTTACATTATGGATTAGTTTTTCTGTAGATGTCTTGCAGTTGTTTGGGATAAAAATTAATTTGTTTTCTCCTTACAGCATGAGCATAAGAAATGATTATAGGCTGCTCATTAAATATAAAAAGTGATATCTATCATTCCAAATAATTTGTAATTTGAAGATATTAATATGGAACAAAGTGGCAGATAAATACATAATTTTGACCAAATTACATGAATCAAGCATGTAAAAAAAATCCTTAACCTTTAAATGTAGATACCATGTTCTTTACACTTTTTCTCAATTCCCAGTTAGTGGATTTTTGCAAAGCTAAACATAGTATTTATAAATCCTAATTCAATTATGTATGATCACACATGAATGGAATGGCTTGTCTTAAATATTGCCAACTTGATACATACACTTCATAAAAACACAGGATATGTATGTTTACATACACTTAAAATTACATTTTTAACCTGCCAGGAAAAAAATGAATTATAATGCATATCTTTTCTGCTCAATTATACCATTCTGTAATAGATCTTTATATGCCATGATAGCTTAAATTAATTTGTACTTGAGGTGGGAGTCATTTACTTTCTTTGTGACCTCTAATGTAGAATGATTGCAGATGGATTTTGTTCTCTGGTTTCAAGCAGGGTTCCCTCTAGAATAGATTTGTCATGAGTGAGATAAATACGTTTCAGTTGAAACACCAAAAATCATGTAAATTATGAAGGCTTAGTAAGTTGTTGTGTACTGCTGATCTGGTCTAAGCTCACTAGTGCAGGAGTAGGCAACCTTGGCTCTTTTATGACTCGTGGACTTCAACTTAAGAGGGAAAGTCCAATCAGAAAAGAAGGCAATAGCAAATCACTCCTCACTTATCGATTGCAATTGCAACAGGCAGCTCCATTGCTAAGTTGTGTTATCATGAAGTGAAAAACCACATGACTTAGCCTGATATACAAAGCAGTTTGTGAATTCCAGCTATGGTCATTATGTAAATCACTCAGTCACTAAAACTGTGATTTCTTGCTGTTCGTTGGAAGCTGACAGGGAAGGTTGCTAGTGATGGTAAAGTGGGACACTGACCATCATAAGTATATGCCAATTGCCAAGCAGAAATTACAATCAGGTAATTTTGGGGAGCTGCAACAGTTGCAACTTTGAGGATTGGTCTTAAGATTCATTATTTAACACCACCGTAACTTTGAAAGGTCACTGAACAATTGGTGCTGCTATGCAAAGTACCTGATTTTGTTGATGAAATCACTAGTTGCTGAAATTCAGCTTGGAGAAGTTGCTTTTATGAAAACCTTGATTAATTTAGATTTTTCTTTAGTTCTCCTGACACTGTATTTTAGGCTGAAATGAGCATTTGTCATATCTGTAGTGTCATTTTTTGTTTTGGATTTTACGTCTGGTTCTTCAACTGAGTGAAACATTGCGTGATATTTATATGTAAATGAGAAGAATGGTATACATATAAGGGGAAGTGTACTTAATCTGATCTTATTTTTTCAGGTGAAAGAAGCACATTAAATGTATTAACAACTTCTGAGTGCTGTACAGAATTATGCTAACGCTTATTAGTTTGCTCATTAAAATATTTATACTTTTTAAATCCATTGTTTTTCTAAAATACAGTGTGCTACAGAGTATGGTTTTGTTTACCTCTACTCTTTGGGGTTCTTGGGATAAGAATCTTGAGAAAATCTGCTGCCAAAGAGATGAAAGTTAACAAAAGGAATCCTATGGTGCCTGTCCACATATACTGTGATATCACAGAAAGGGAACTGGCACAAAAATGCAAAGTAGAGATTAGGTTTAAAACTCAGAACATGAAATCCTTTTTCTGAAGTCACTGTTGAAATAAAACCTATTTCATGGGAAAATCAACTGATGAAGTTAAATGCACCCCAGAATTTGGCTTGAAGGTAGAAAGGTGAGCCTAAGTCTTTAATCACAGACCCACAGGTCTTCCATTCAGGATTACTAGTTCAAATACACTGACTTTCATATGCACTTTTTTGCCATTTTCTGTTTCCATTCCATAGCTTTTTAACCTCCGATGCTTTATGCAGTCCTTTGCATAATATTATATCAGCTCCTTTCTAGTTTTTCTGTCTGTTCCCTCCCTCTTGTTATGTTGTGCCTCCCTTATCTTCCTTTTACCAAGCATACAATTTCTCTCTTGACAGTACATGACCAAGCTCAAGTCACTTATTATTATCTTGTTTTTAATCAATCTTGAAGCCAGCACAGCCAAGGCACTCATTTAAGTAGTAATGAATGCCTTGGCTGTGCTGGCTACAAGATTGATTAAAAATAGTCAACTACATTGGAAGGTCACCAAGTTGGAAAATGCAGCTGTGCTGTGCCTAAAGATATTTCTCCTCCTTTTTCCACATAAACGTTACACTGTGCCAGTGGCTCTGCTTCCTCCAGATGCACTTACTAATTGGCTGAGAATAGAACAAATTCTAAACAGATATTAATGAAGCAATCACAATTGTTCACAAATTGGTGCTTGCTGAATGTCTTAGAGCAGAGGCCCCCAACCTTTTGGGCACCAGGGACCGATTCTATGGAGAAAGATTTCTCCACGGACCAGAGGGGCATGGTTTTGTGTGCTGCCTGTAACTCATGGATGGGGCTTAGTTTGTTTTTGCAGCCTGGTTGTTGGCATGCCGCAGCCCGGTGCCAGTCCACGGACCAGGGGTTGGGAACCCGTCTTAGAGCCTGCTGTTGAATGCAACATAGGGGAAAAAAAGTACTTCATGTTTCTTTAAACAGAACTATATTGTGTTTGTTGCATATATGCAAGTATTTAGAGAACATTTATTGATGCATTTAAAAAAACAGCTAAGCCGTAGCAGTTACATGCTATTGCAGGAAGCAAGCCATTTGCAGTGCAAATTAACTACCTCCTTTAAAATATTGCTACAAAAGTGTAATAGAATTTTGAATGAATTATGCATGGTCTTATTCCTTTGGCTCACTGACAACAGCTGTGGTTGAATAAGAGAAAGGACTAAGAAGAGCAGCGATAGTGTAATGACGATGACCGGAATCATTAGCAGTAAAAACCACCTGTTAAAAGAAAAAGACAAGCAATTTGGGTGTGTTTTTGGTTAACATGATGATCTGAAAGTGAGCAGTGCTAAAGTAGAAAGATTGGATTAAAGAAAACCCATTGCTTTCTTTCATTCTGCAATTTTTTTTTTTTTACTGAAAATGATTAAACTTACCACACATTTAAATCCAGCTGGATATGGAGATTGAGACACGTATGCATGTATGAAAGCACACACATTTTAATGAATATTATGAATCTTTGGTATTTTTGAATAAACATAAGTGATCTTAAAGTTTATACTTACCAAACACTTCCATTTATATTTCTTTCCTCCCCAAATATATGTTTATATAATAGCAGGAATTATTGGATCAAACTGCATCATAATTTTTGGGAATTAAACATTAAAGGAAAAACATCTTTTGCTAGTGGTTTAACATATATTTTAATATTTTCAAATACTTACATCAGCATATTCATGAAAGGAGGAAATGCCAAGCGCTCTCCAGTACAAGCTAGTGTCAAATTCCACCTTGTACAAGCCTTCTGTAAACAACTCATCAGTTGTAAGCTCATGGATTTCTCCAAATTCATTTGTTTTCCTTAAATTAATATATGAGAGTGACACAGTCAATAGCTTTACTCAAAACAAATACCATACTGTTTTATTCTGGCCATGGGATGGATTCAGAGTTAGTCATACTTAAAACATACACATTGAAAAGAATGGGACTCCTATCAAAATCAATGTAGTATAGGTGATAATTCACATAAATAAGAACCATTATTTGCACCCATTTCCTCACCGAATCAAGATTTAGGAGGCGATAGTGCCATCATCATGCTAAAATAGCGCTGTTCTGAGGAAACACCAGATCTACAATACTTCAAAAATGACAACCTTGTGGCTAATGAAAGCTTGTAGCTAATAGTTTTGTGCTGTTCATACAATCCATTTGAAAAGAAAATAGAGCATGATCAATGGATTTTAGCAGACACTTTTCATGTGGTCTTACCCACTGGAAAGCTCCTTCCAGATTCCATCTTCACCCTTTTTGAATACTTTTACTGGGAGGCTGGTAGCTGGGATTCCCCGGACTGCATCAAGGACTTTCACCATCAGAGGACACTTTGAATCAGCAGAACTATGGGATTCCTCAATACAGCAAAAGAGGTTTCTATTAGAATTTTGGTAGGATATAGCCTGGTTTGTGAACAATAGATTTTGCTTTACTCATGCATTTTCAAAGGACTTCTTTTGGTAGTGGTGGTGTTATTGGGGAAGCCTTAGTTTGAGCTAACAATAAGTGACATTTAAATTAGCGTTAGAACTAGAATGCAACTTTAGATATTGTTTATAAACTGATATTTAAAACATATGCAAGCACACAGATATACAAAATCCTGATGAAAGCTTTTTTCATACCTGAAACACTGCCCCCCCCATATTAGTTCTGCCACAGGCATTGATTTATGAATATTCATTCATTCAATGATTACAGATGCAAATAACTGATAGTCAGACTTCCCAGTTTCCTTTACTTACAAGTCAATCCA